AAAAAAAAAATTCCACACCCACCATTTTAGTTTGCCTGAAGGAGCTGTGGGCAGACCCCGTTCCCCCGGCCGGCTCCGGACCCCTCCTCGCACCCTCCCTGGTGTCACGCCTGGGGGGAGACCCCGGGGGCTGGGGGGCTCTGCCCAGCCCCGCTACCCCAGCTGCTCCCGAGGGCCCCCCCACAGGGCACTGGGACCTGCCTGGGGCAGTGGGGGCACAGGGGCATCTCCCGGGGCTGCCCCATGGCCAAAGCGGGGCCAGATCCTGCCCGTGCCCCCACCATGCCCATGCACTGGTGCAGGGGGGGCTTCTCCTCCCATGAGTTATTTGATCATGGGGTTTTATTTTTTAATTATTATTATTATAATTAATTTTGTGGGTTGGCTTTTAAAATAATAATTATTGCTACTTATTATTATTATTTCTTAATTATTTTTATTTCCAGCGTGGGGAAGGCCGGGCTGCCCTTGCCTGACCCCAGCCCAGCTGCTGCCCCCAGCCCAGGCCTCAAGAAACTAAAAGATACTTTTTTAAAAAAAAAAAATAAATAAATAAAAGGAGGGGAAAAAATTGAGAACTCCCCCCTGGCCACGTGTTGTAGCCAAAAAGGGAAACAACAACAGCAACAAGAGGATGGTCTCTCGTTTCCCATCACGGTTTGGGACGAAGGCTGCAGTGGGAGCAGCCTCGCCGGGGTTTGGGGTTTTTGGGTTGGGGAGGGGCTTGTTTGAATTCCCACCCAGCTCAAGGCCAAGGCCTTCGCTAGCCAGGAGCCGGCCGGATTCTGCCCCCCCCATTTTCATTCCCTCCTGGTTTAACAACTCCCTGCTCCGAGTCACCGCTCATTCTCCAGGTTTGGATCCAAAAGCACAGCTCGCCCACGCCGGACAGGCTTCCTCCCTTCAGCCCCCCGCGGGACGAGCGGGGGCCGCGGGGAGGGTTATACATATCTATATTTTATTTTCTTCTTTTTTTTTTTTTTTTTTTAGGGTATTTTTTTTTTTTGTTTGGTTTTTTTTAATTTTTAACTTT